GCACGTGCTGCGGTGCGCGTTCATGCGTGCGTGTGTGTGCAAGGGATACTTTTACGACCTTGCAACGTGACCCGATGGCAACACTCCTCAAGGACGACTCTGATACAGACTTGTACTAACTCTCTAATTCTTTTCGCTTTGGTCTTTTTTTTTGTCCTGCCTCGCCCCTGCCTGCCACTGGAAGGCGGAAATCACGCACCTGAAAGCGTTATATAATAGATGTGGAAACCTTATCGGCCATTGTCTTAACACTCGACGCTTAAGCTGCTGTTTCTGCGGACTTTAAGACCATTGAACTCCTAAATGCTGCGCTGCTCTCACGATACCACAAAATGCCTTTTATTACGAGAAAACGTTGAATGAGAACATAAGCAAGTGACCTCCCTGAAAATTCTACCAATAAACGCCTTATCAAAATATGTGGCCCGCATAATCGCAAAGAACAGAGCAGGGACACGCGAGGCTGGTGGACACCGGCGGGAGAGCTGGACAGGCAGCGCTCGGGGAGCTACCGGGCAGTCCGCCGCAGGAACGATTAATATCAAAGAGGTTCTGTCAGTTAGCGAGGCGGCTTCTTGACCTTTTCCTTTTACGCCTTTACGTCATTCATCCCTTGGGTCTGGCGACAGATATGTAAGCAATTCGCCTTCCAGTCGCGCTTGTTAGTCGTTAAATCGCAACATTTATCTGCAATCAAAAACCAAAGGAATGTGGCGACCGCGGCAACACAAGCGGAGGCAACGAGAGTTTTGATAAGCCTGGCGTCCTCCTCAGCCTACTCACTCATATGCAACCTTACTGCTGTTAACCCGGAGTGTACTTCACTCAGCGGCTAAAACGACTCCTGACACAGGCCGTGAAAACCTTTGTATCCGGCCGTCGCCATGGGCCTCTTCCCTTTCTCCCTCTTCCTTTTCCCCTTTCTGCTTCTGTTTTCTGGCTGTTCCCTTATCGCTTCCCGATTTCTTCGTCCTTTGCGATTCCACGCCATTCCACAACCGAGCATTTCACGGCTTAATGACTCCTTGGCCAGACAGAGCCCATGCGTCAGCCGTAAGCCTCGGTGCCTCCCACTCGTGCTGGCCCTGTTATCTGCCACAAGCACAGCCAAACCGCGCGGGGCCGACAGACAAAGAGGCTGGGCTGCAGGAGCAATGACTCTGACGCGACTCGACAAAAGCTCGCAAGGATAAGGGAGCGTAATCTGAGCGGACCCAAGTGTTTAGGGTTCGAGGTACAGATTTTATTTCCTCGTGCCAGGCGCAAAGGCAGAGATGCTCTGGGCATCAAGGCCCTGCCCTGACGCCTCTTCCCTGGGCATGGCCCTTGCGTCACGAAGCCTTGCCCTTGACAGTAGGAAAAGACGAAAGAGGAGAAGGGAAACGTGGAAATCAATAGCCAGTAAAAAAAAAAATGGATTAAAAGAGAGAGAGAGAGAGAGAGAGAGAGAGAGAGAGAGAGAGAGAGAGAGAGAGAGAGAGAGAGAGAGAGGGAAGAAGGGAGGGATGGAGAGAGGGAAGGAGGGAGGGAGGGAGAGAGGGAGGGAAGGAGGGAGGGAGGCAGAGAAGGAAGGAGGGAGGGAGGGGGGAGGGAGGGAAGGAGAGAGGGAAGGAGGGAGGAAGGGAAGGAGCGAGCGAGCAAGAGAGAGAGAGAGAGAGAGAGAGAGAGAGAGAGAGAGAGAGAGAGAGAGAGAGAGAGAGAGAGAGAGAGAGAGAGAGGGGGGGGGGGGAACAGGGAGAAGGGGAGGGAGGGAGAGAGATAGACAGTAAGGGAGGAAGTAAAAGGTGAAGGAGGGAAGGAGGGAAGGAGGGAGGGAGGATGGAATGGAGGGAGGGAGGAAAGGAAAGGAGGGGAGGGAGGGACAGGGAAAGTAAGAGGAAGAAGGAGGGGGACAGGGAGAGGGAGAGGGAGAGGGAGGGAGGAGAGGGAAATAGAAAAAGAAAGAGAGAGAGAGAGAGAGAGAGAGAGAGAGAGAGAGAGAGAGAGAGAGAGAGAGAGGGAGGGAGGTAGAGAGGAGGGAGGGAAGGAGGGAAGGAGGGAGGGTGGGAGGGAGGGAGGGAGGGAGGGAGGGAGAGAGGAGGGAGTAGGGGGTAGGGAGGGATGGAGGGAGGGAGGGAGGGAGGTAGAGAAGAGGGAAGGAGGGAGGGAGGGGGGGAGGGAGGAGGCCGCGCGAGGTCCGGCCCGAGCGGGGGTCGCGGCGTCCTGCCAGGGTCGCCAGGGAGGCTTCCTGGGGACCTCATCATCCGCCTCATGAGCCAGGCACGCGGCACCTCGCAGCCCGCCGACGTCACGCGGCTTCGGCCTCGCCTGCGCCGCCTGCTGGTGCCTCCGTTGCGGCTCGAAGGCAGGCGAGCCTCTCCTGCAGCTTTTCAGTGTCCTATCCTCATGCCGAGACAGGCGGAGGGTGACGGCGTCGAAAACAACATAATGTAGGCCTTTATATGCACAGTACGCACACTCCTTTCTCCTCTCTCTCTCTCACTCTCTCTCTTACTCTCTC